TTTGTAGTGTAGTGGTCTCTTAGAGTACTTTACATGTTGTAAAGCAGTCGTTCTCAAAATTTTTTTGACTGCTAACTATAATAAGAGACACATTTTACGGGGGGCACCTGGGTGGCTCAGTCAGTTAAGTGTCTGACTCTTGGTTTCAGCTCAGGTCATTATCTCATGGTTGGTGGGATTGAGCCCTATGTCGGGCTGCATGCTGGCAGCACGGAGCCTGCTTGGGATTCTCTCTCTGCCCCTCCCCTGCTCCTGCTGTCTGTGTCTCACTCAAAATAAATAAACTTAAAAAAATTTTTACTTTACAACTCAGTACTCACATACTTGAAACACATTGATATCTTACATATATTTTAAAATTCTAGTCATGACCCACTAAAATGATCTTACTACTCAGCAATAGGTTGCCATTCACACCTTGATAAATACTTCTCTAGAGCAGTATTTCTTTTTTTTCCTGATGTTTTGTTTTCTTCCAGTTTAGTTATTAATTTTGAGAGACAGCAGGGGAGAGGCAGAGAGAGAGGGAGAGAGAATCCCAAGCAGGCTCTAAGCTGGCAGCGCAGAGCTGAATGCTTAACTGGTAGAGCCACCCAGGTAGCCCTAGAGCAATATTTCTTAAAGTGTGAGCCAGCTATATCTTCATGTTGGGTGTTGAGAGAAAACTTAAGCATTCAGAAATAAATAGGGAAACCTAACAAGCTTTCGTGAGTTTTAAAAGTTGTATTAATGATTCTTCAAAGATGAAATGCCTCCCTTCCCTAGAATTGTCTTGATTCTCCTTCTGCCTAAGACCATGTAGGGACTTTTACAGTACTGAAATTTTTTAGTGGAATCAAATTTCAGTCATACCAAAATGGAAGAGTTAAGATGCACTTGAAAAACTCATCTTCCAGGCAAGTTTAAACCAGTTATGTATTTTGCAAGGCAAGGCACATCTGGTTTTTAGATAATTCCTTGATTTGTGCAGTTTTTCTTGTATCTTCCATAATTTTCATGCAGAGCTTGTTATATTGGAGATTTAGTAATGTTTTCTAGAAGAGCACTTTTAGGAAATTCTTAGCTCTGATGTTATTGAAAAGATAAATGTAAGCTGGTATTTTAGGTCATAATATTTCTAAATTGTAATCAAATTTCCTTGGCAATTTAAAGACTTAAGGCATTTGAATTGATACATTTAACATGATACACTATGATAATTACTGGTAATAATTGCTGGTCTGAATTGCTCCCAAGTAAATACTTAGAGAGATCAAAATATACCAAAAGGTTTATGAATAGGGACTCGGTTTTTCCCTTCGTTTAAATGGCAGTCCCAGGCTCTTAAATTTACTCATCCTTTATTTGTTCCTGATTTATTTACAAATTTTAGAAGAAAGTAATAATCCACTTGAAATAGATACATATCAGGGGCACTTGCGTGGCTCAGTTGTTTGTGTCCACCTCTTGACCTCGGCTTTGGTAGGTCATAATCTCACCATTTGTGAGATAGAGTCCTACATTGGGCTTGGCATTGACCATGAGGGATTCTCTCTCCTCTCTCTGTCCCTCTCCTGCTTGTGCATGCACTTTCTCTATCTCTCACTCATACACTCTGTCTCTAAATAAACTTAAAAAAAAGAAATATATACATGTTATCATTTCAAGAAGACCTGCTTTAAATTGCTTTAGCAAAAATTTGGGGTCTCGTGTAAATTTCAAGTTGACTAAGCAAATACTGTGTTGCACTCAGGGGATGATGCATAACAATTACACTGTGTGAATCTACCATTCCAGTCACTGTATGATGTAGTACTATAAGGCGTTCTGAATTGTTTCTGTGAACTTGTATATTTCCACAGGTGTTTTTATTTTTAAACCACTAAGTGAAATTCTCATAGAAGACGTCAGTGGATATTGCAGATAGAAAATCCTAAGGGAAAAAGCTATCACCATTGGAATTGGAATGGACATTATCCACATTGAAAATGGCAAATGGATAATTAACATTAGCCTAGTAAATATAACTAAGTCAGAACAATATATGATATTAGTGCCTAAGTGTTAGACATTGCCAAACTGAAACATCATTGAGTATAACAGACTTCAGTCAATGATGTAGATTTTGTCAGTACTTTTTACATTTAGCAAAGAGAATTATTACGCATTCTTTTTCTCACAAGTTGTCATTCATATTTATGAAGTAGAGCCAAAATATAGTCTGATCTTTTTTCAACTTGTTGAAATATATTTTCTCCTTTTCTTTTTTTCTTATGAGAAAATTCAGTGTAAATTGTGTTTCAGAGAGATACCTAAGAGTTGGGACATAATAAACATCAACAAGTGCAAAATATTTCATAACTTCTTGATGAAAGCCAATAATCATTTTCTCTTACTAGGATAACTACTATAAAAATGTTTTTAGCCTATGAAAAATGTTGTGTGTCATGAACCTAGCAGTTTGTAATCTCTTGAAGACAGGAAGTCATCTCCAACTTTCACAACTAAGGATTGTTTTTTGTTTTTATTTAAAAAATCATTTCAAAATATTTATTTTTGAAGGGGAGAGAGACAAAATGAGCGGGGGAGGGGCAGAGAGCGAGGGAGATACAGAATCTGAAGCAGGCTCCAGGCTCTAAGCTGTCAGCACAGAGCCCAATGTGGGGTTCAAACCCACGAACTGTGAGATCATGACCTGAGCCAGAGTCAGATGCTTAACTGACTGAGCCACCCAGGTGCCCCAGAACTAAGGATTGTTTGGAAAGTTTAAATTAGGTGTAAGTGGGAAAAGATTTTTTCTTTTATCTAAAACCTAAAAAAAAATTGAGGACTGGAAATGTCTATTTTAACTCAGAGCCAAAGTAGTTGAAATGTTAACTGTTTTCTAAATATTTCTAATGTTTGGGAAGATCCAGATGTGACCTGTCCCATTTAAGCATTAGGTAATATTGAGATAAAATTCAAGAGAATAAAAAAATAAATTCAAATAAATTTTTAGGTTAAGAAGCCATGAAAAAACATTAATTTTTCTCTAGAGAGTTAGGTGCCCAGAAAATGAAACTTTTTTTTGGTAACATATTCCTGAATACTATTTGCCAGTCCTAAAAATCATTTGTGTCTTCTAACATGTTAGCCAGAAGCTACTAGCCTGTGATATAAGAGATGAATGCCTTCCATTTATATTCCACTTTGAAATATATTCACTCAACTTCATGATCATTATCTAATTTAATCCATTTAAATCACCATCAAGGTAGGTTATTGATAAAAATGGTCATTGCTATGAGTGAAACATAGGGGAGTGAAACATAGGGGAGGAAATCTGATAAGGTATATCAATCAGGTAGGGAAAAGAGTGAGCAGACACATAGCCTTTGGGGAACAAGAAAGGGAGTGATTTCATGTTGAGTTGGTAGCGGGAGGAAAAAGAGAATTACTTAGGACTGGACCATATATTGAAATGGGATATTGTATGAGTTTGTATTACTAAAGGAAAGAATAGCTTTAAAATGCTTTAAAACTCTGTTAGAACGGAGTTAGCTTGAAAGGTATGATACCTATTTCCCATATATTCTCCATCAGTATGATGGAATTTAATTATATATAAAGATCTAATATATGTTATAATAGAGATATAAGGTTATACAATGAAGATTTAGATATCTTTATAAGTAGATAAAGGCATTACTGAGTAACTGAGACAATTTATGGGGATTTCCTGTACAGTATGAGTTGAAAAGGATTCTTATAGCTCAAATAATCACCCTTCTCTAGTGTGTAACACATACCAAATCTAATAAGTTGCATAATTGGGAAGCTTACAAAAAACAGAGCTATTCATCTTGTACTTTTTCAAATTAAGTATATTAAATGGATGCATATCTGATTTTTTAAAATTTAATCCCCCTAATCAAGAAACTTAAATAATTGAGCTAATTGAAAGTCCTTGTTTATAGATGTGAAAGTTCAGAATTGAAGTTTTGTTGTTTTTTGAATGTTGTAAACAAATGGATTTAGTACATTTGTTAGAATCAAATCAATGTAATATGTCCATATTTCTGTAAATAAGTAGACAGCAAAACAAGAAACATTTGCTGAATGACTATTGTGTGCCAGATACTGTGCTTGATAGAAGAGGTGGTGGTGTGTGGGGAGAAGGAGAGACAGAAATACAGTTAAAAATAACAATTGTTTCCTGTCTTTGGGGGCCTTGCAGTCTAGGAGTGTTGTACGTGTAAAACATAATTGCCATATAGCACAAAAAATGTTACAGTAGAGATACATACCTAAGATACATTTGGGTAAAAGTGGATTAACCAGTTTAGCTTTAGTGTCCTAGAGTTTCTGAGGGGAGTATGTTTCCGCTGAAACGTAATAAATGGGGAGGGTTCCCAGGGTGGGAATGTGGAAAAGAGCATTCCAGGCAAAAGAAATCTTCACAAGTTGAAGCAATATGGTTTAACCATATTGAGTACATGCTGGAAAGTGTTGAGAGATGATTGATGACAATAGGCAGCTGAATTTTGTATACAATCTTGAGAAGTTTGAGTTTCAATTTGTAATTTTTGGAGAATTATTGAGAAGTATTGGGTGTGATCAGATTGTTTCTCCTTGTAGTGCAATTTTAGCTTTTGAGGTATTTAAGAAGCTAAATCAGGAATTGTAATAGTTATGGTGCAGGTAGGAGGAGCAGTTAGGTTATCACTGCTGTAATTCAGATGATAGATGATGAGGGTAATTAAAATGGCAGTGAGAATGACAGATGTGTTAAACATAATCAGTAATCTATAATGATTGATTAGGGGTGGTAAGAAAGGAAGAAAAGTCCATTATGGATCCTGGTTTCTGGCATGAATGATGAGGTTAGGTGGGTGAATTTCTCATCATTTTTTCCCCCTCACTAGACTTTTGAGAGAAGCTTTTTATTTTATGTGTGTGAATAGCATCTCTAAAATTAATGAGCATATTAAAGTAACTTCTGAGTAGGTTATTTCTAAGTTTTTCTTTATTTTTATTTATAGATGCCACTTCCAATGAACAACAAGAGCTATTCTGTCAGAAGTTGCAGCAGTGTTGTATACTGTTTGATTTCATGGACTCTGTTTCAGACTTGAAGAGCAAAGAAATTAAAAGGGCAACACTGAATGAACTGGTTGAGTATGTTTCAACTAATCGTGGTGTAATTGTTGAATCAGCGTATTCTGATATAGTAAAAATGGTAAGCCTTCTAGACTTAAGTTCCTCAGATTTCTATAAATTCAAGTAAGATCTGAGGTGTAATTATGAATTACCTGAGACTAATTTTTAATAAATAGACAATAATCAGTGTACTCAAAACAATGTTTTTAAAATAGTCCATTTGAAAGATTATCCATTCATTCCACTGATGCTGTCATTGCTTATATTAGTTTGAAAATTCAATAGCCACAGTGGCTGGTGGCTGTCATATTGTATAGTGTAGATCTAGAGCTTAAGAGAAACCTGTAGGCTTAAGATTGTACAGATTAATAAGTAATTAATGTCATAGAGCTGAATTGTCACTAAGGGAGAATGTCTAAAGTGCAAAGAGAGAAGACTAATGAAAAACTATGGGACTCTCCACATTTCAGCAGTGGGTAAAGGAGTCAGGTCTAAAAATACGTATTTATTTAGACTATTTTAATGTATTAATGTATTTATAGATTCTATAGCACTTGAATTTTAATAAAAACTCAGGACCTTTAAGAAGTTAAGTAACGTACATAAGTGAATGAAATCTCTGAAAAATAAATTAACTGCCAACTTTATTAAGGTAAGGTTGTTTAGGATACTGTTTATTAATAATTCAACCTTATTTTTCATCAAACAGTAAAGTTTGTAAAACTTTAAAAACCGTAAAAAAAAAACAGTAAAAAAAATTAGTTGGAGTATTCAAGAGTCACTGAAGTCATAATTGAAGTTTAAATGTTACCAGGGTATAAAGAACGTTATAGCAAGTATAATTTGTAGTTGTCTTCATTTCCCTCCCCTTGCCTAATATATGTTCTGGGGGAAGAACAAAATGTATAGAAAGTTTAATTTGGCCCTGTTACACCAGTTGAGTTTTCTTTCATCACATTATACTAGAAAATTTTGGTTCAGTTTTTTGTTTGCTTTTTAAAAGTTTTCTTTGTTTTTTTTTTTTAAATGAAAATAAAAGCCTTAAAGAAGTTTTAAAGAGTAGCTATACAGGGAGCATTGATCAAAATGAAGTTGGCTTCCCTAAACTCTCAATAGACTATAAAAATTAAGTGATAGTTTGAAAACAAGTATTGAATACTGATAAACTCATTTTGTTTTTCGTTTTGTGTTTATCATTTAAAATACGTTCAGGGGGAAAAACAGTATTTCCATTTTACTGATTTCAAAGGGTTTATATTCAGAAAATTTTCAAATCCTGGAAAAAGGTACTTTATTTTAATCTCTGTAAAGTTACTGACTTGGGTGCCTGCTAGCTCAGTTGGTAGAACATGCAACTTTTGATCTTAGGGTTGTGAGTTCGAGTGCATGTAAAGATTACCTAAAGCTGTCAAATATTTAGATATTGAAAGTACTCAAATGTTTGAGTCAATTTATTCTGTACTAATAAATTCTGGGAGTTATTTCTTTTTCCAAGAAAAAAGGTGTGTATGCTTTGTCTTTTTTTTTTTTTTTTTAACTTCTGGGTACTTAATTTCTCGATAAGCGTGAAGCCAACTCACCCTGTTGGCCCTATAAAGCTCTTAAGTATACTTATTATATAGTTAATTTTATTGGTGGCAACAAGGTTGATGTTTTTTTACTACCAAGAATAAGTATGATCTCAAAGGCAAATTATGCCCTCTGAATGAGACATCTTTCCTTTTCAAGTTTTATCTGTGACTTCCTACCATTCTTTGTGAAATTGATACCTGTCAAACTCTTTATTGGTTCCGCCCTTATGTACTGGCATTGAGTTCTAGCAGATCAAATTCTAGGTTATTACTTTCTAAGTCTTTTGGTTTTAGTAATTGACTGTAAGCAGTTATTTGGCTAAGCATAGATGCCACTTCATAAGCATAGTTGGAAATTTGCACCACCTACAACCTCTTGTCTCATCCTTTATTCCCCAACTAGTTTATCTCACGTGACCAACTCTTTAATAGTATGGCCTTAAGTGTTTGCTAAACCATGTGGTTTCTCAGTTGTTGTTCATCATTCTTCAAAGATTAGCACCACAGTCTAACCTTTGCTAGAGAAAAAAGATGTGTTAGTTTACCTTGGTGCTAAGACAGTGTGAATAATGAAATTATAAATACTGTTATTTCACTGAATCTGAAATGAAGAATCTCAACATTCTGATTTTAGAGAGATTAATTTGTTTTGTTTTGTTTTGTTTTTTGTTTAAAGAGGCTCAGGGGCACCTGGGTGGCTCAGTCGGTTAAGTGTACGACTTCAGCTCAGGTCATGATCTCACGGTTTGTGAGTTCAAGCCCTGCATCGTGCTCTCTGCTGACAGTGCGGAGCCTGCTTGAGATTCTCTCTCTCTCTCTCTCTCTCTCTCTCCCCCCCCTTTCTCTTTTTCTTTCTCTTTCTGACTTTCTCCTTCTCTTTCTCTTTCTCTTTCTCTTTCTCTTTCTCTTTCTCTTTCTCTTTCTGCCCCTTCCCAGGTTGTGCTCTCTCTCTCTCTCAAAAATAAATAAACATTAAAAAAATAAAAATTAAAAAGGCTCAGGATAAAATACATTAAATCACCAGAGGGATATGTCCATAATAGCAGTGAGGGTATTCTACCCTCCTTTCCCTCTTTCTCAGTGTGGTGTGTATGTATAGGAATGGAGATCTTTTATCAAACTCTTTTGGACTGTAAACTAAGTAAATGGCTGGATTAGAATATGGAGGGAATTGTAGAAAGATGAAATGGATCAAGTTATTGATAGGTAGACTTAGGAACTTTGTGCTTTTCTCCCCAGAATTCCTTCCTCGTCTTTTTTTTTTTTTTTTATAAATTTTCTGTTTAAGCAAAACTTGGAAATAACAACTTGTAATTTAAGGAAGATGAATCCAGAGGTAATCTGTAATCTGTAGTAAGTTGGCATCTGAAGAAGTCATAGTTATGGGATAGAGAAAAGAGAAACATCTCACTTCTTCATATCTTGATGAAGCTTATAGGTTTTGAACTAGGCTTATAGTCAAAACTTTTTTCTTAAAGTTATCTTTAAAATATTTCAGTTTACATTGTTTAGTTGTACAACAAAGAATATAAATCTAAATTCCTTTTCTTTACAGATCAGTGCTAACATCTTCCGTACTCTTCCTCCAAGTGATAATCCAGATTTTGATCCAGAAGAGGATGAACCCACACTTGAGGCCTCCTGGCCTCACATACAAGTATGAAATTTAATTATATATTGAAAATTTTTACCTTTATGATATTCTGCTGAAATCATGGTGGGTCTCTTTTAGATCTTAGTGTCTATGTAAAATATTTGACTTTTAGTATGTTTTCTTATCATTATTTTCTTTTCCCCCAAAATCGATTTCACTTTTTTTGAGATAAAATACAGTTATCATTTAAACCATTTTAAAGTGTTCTGTTGAGTGACATTAACTACATTCACAATGCTGTGCAACCATTATCACTATCTAGTTCTAGAACTTTTTTATCACCAAATGGAAACCCCCTTTACATTAGCAGTCACTTCCCATTTTCCTATCCTCACAGTTCCTGACAACTCCTAATCTATTTTCTGTCTTTATGGATTTACCTGTTCTGAATATTTAAGTGAAATCATGTAATATATGGCCTTGTGTGTCTGGGTTCTTTAACATAGTATTTTCAAGGTTCATCAATGTTGTTGCATGTGTCCATACCTCATTCTTTTTAATGATTGAATAATATTTCATTTTCTGGATATACCACATTTTATGTATCCATTAATCAATTGATAGATGTTTTGGCTTATTGTAATGAGAACTATTATGAACATTCATGTACAGGTTTTTGTTTTAACATGTTTCCCATAAATTTTGATAAGTTGTGTTTTTGTTTTCATTCACCTCAAAATATTTTCTAATTTTCCTGTGATTTCTTCTTTATTAATAAGGAATGTGTTTAATTTCTGTATGTTTGTGACTGCCACATTTCTTTCTGTTACTAATTTCTAATTATTTCATTGTAGTTGGGGAATATACTTTGAATGTCTTCAATCCATGTAAGCTTATTGAGGCTTTTAGTAGGGCCTAACATACAGTATATTCTGGAGAATGTTTCATGTGTGCTTGAGAAGAATGTGTATTCTGTTGTTGGGTAGAGCATTCTGTAGAAATCTGTTAGGTCTTATTGGTTTATAATGTTATTAAAGTCTTTTTCCTTGTTGATCTTTGATTTCTACTCATTATTGAAAGTAAGATACTGAAGTTTCTAACTATTATTGTTGAATTTTATATTTCTCTTCAGCTCTGTCAGGTTTTGCTTTATGTATTTCAGAACCCTATTATTAGCTGCTTATGTTTATAATTGTTATGTCTTATCTATGGATTGTCCTTATAATAACTTTAGATGGTTTGTTTTGTCTGATATTAGCATAGGCACTCCAGCTCTCTCTTGGTTACTGTTTGCATGATATATCTTTTCCAATCCTTTTCCTTTTAATCAGTTCCTTTGAATATACATTTTGTCTTGATAAAGTTGGATCATGTTTTTGTAATCAGTTTTGACAGTCTCTGCCTTTTGACTGGACTGGAGTGTTTAATCAGTTTACATTTAATGTAATTGTAGATAAGTTAGGATTTACATCTGCCTAATAGAAATTTTGCTCTTTCTATATGTTGTATGCCTTTTTGCTTTCCTACTTCTCCATTACTGCCTTTTGTATTAAATAGGTATTTGTTAGGGTGCCATTTTAATTCCCTTGTTTTTTTCAACTGAACTTTTTACTTTCTTAGTAGTTACCCTGGGGATTACAATTAGCATCTTAAAACAATCTGGTTTGGTTGAATACTAACTTAATTTCAGTAGTATAAAAAATTTTGATACAATATAACCTCCATTCCCTCCCCCACCTCCTTTGTGATATTATTTGTGGTATTCTTGTCATTGCCCACCAGTACAATTTTATAATTATTGCTTTACATGATTGTCTTGTAGAGCAGTAGAACAAATGAGTTATAAATAAAATACATTTATGCTTTTATATTATGTATAGTTGACCCTTGAACAACATGAGTTTAAAGTGCATGAATCTGCTTATGTGCAGACTTTTTTTTTTTTTAAATATTTTTATTTATTTCTAGGAGAGAGAGAGAGAGACAGCGTGAGCAGGGGAGGGTCAGAGAGAGAGGGAGACACAGACTCTGAAATAGGCTCCAGGCTCTGAGCTGGCAGTCAGCACAGAGCCCGACGCGGGGCTCGAACCCACAAACCGCGAGATCATGACCTAAGCGAAAGTCGGACGCTTAACTGACTAAGCCACCCAGGTGCCCCGAGACTTTTTTGATATAGTACAGTACTATAAATGTATTATCTCTTCTTTACAATATTTAACAAAATTTTAATTCCAATATACTTAACCAACAGTGTTATGTTAGTTTTTGGTATATGGTATAGTGATTCAACAATTCTGTATCTTACTCAGTGCTCAGTGTGATAAGTTTATTCTTAATCCCCTTCACTTATTTCATCCATCTCCCTCACCCCCCTCCCCTCTGGTAACCATCAGTTTGTTCTCTGTGGTTAAGATCTGTTTTTTGGTTTGTCTCTTTTTTGTTTTGTTCTACTGTTTTGTTTCTTAAATTTCACATATGAATGAAATTTTATGGTATTTGTCTTTCTCTACCTGATTTATTTCACATAGCATTATACTCTCTAGATCCATTCATTTTGTTGCAAATAGCAAGATTTCATTCTTTTTTATATATTTAATATATTCCACCGTGTTTATAGACCACATCTTCTTTATCCATGTTCCATATTCATTTATCAGTGGACACTTGGGCTGCTTCCATAATTTGGTTAATTCTAAATACTAAATAACCCCAATAAACATTGGGGTGCCTATATCATTTCAAATTAGTGTTTTCATATTCTTTGGGTAAAAATACCCAGTAGTACAATTACCAGATTGTAGGGTAGTTCTATTTTTAATTTTTGAGGAACTTCCATACTGTTTTTCATAGTGACTGTACCAGTTTGTATTCTCCCTTATGACAGTTTTACATTTTTTTCTCCAGCTTACTTAAGTTTTAAGAATACAGTATATAATATTTATAACATACAAAATACATATTAATTGGTTCTGTTATCAGTAAGGCTTGCTCTCAACAGTATAGGCTATTAGTAGCTAAGTTTCGGGAGAGTCCAGAATTACATGTGGATTTTTGACTGAGTCAGGGTGGGGAGGGTCAGTGCCCTTAACCCCTGCATTATTCAAGGTTCAACTGTGCTTACCTTTACCTGTGCTTTTTATTTCTTCTTGTGAATATCCTTTCATTTCTTCCTGAAGGGTTCCCTTTAGTATTTCCTGTAGAGCGGGTCTATTAGTAAATTCTCTCAGTGTTTGTTTATCTGGGAGTGTTTTAATTTCCCCTTCATTTTTGAAGGAGAGTTTTGCTGGATATAGAATTCTTGGCTTAACTACCCTTTTCCTTCAGCAGTCAGAAGATGTCATCCCACGGGTCTTCTGGTATCCCTTGTTTTCTGATGACAAGTCAGTTGTTAATTAGGATTTCATATGTGTGATGTTATTTTTCTCTTGATGCTTTGAATATTTTCTATTTTTCATTTCTGTCAGTTTTGATTGTGATATGTGTAGGTGTGATCTCTTTGGCTGTATTCTACTGGAGTTCATTGAGCTCCAGTAAGAGTTCTTGCGTAAATTAGTAATTTTCACCAAATTTGAGTTGATTTTAGCTGTTATCTCTTCAGATATTTTTTTCTTCCTCTTTCTCCTCTCTGAGACCCTATTATGTATGTGTATATTGGTATGACTGAAGGTGTCCCTCAGATCTCTGAAGCTCTGTTACTTTTTTGTTCATTCTTTTTTCTTTCTGCGTCTCAAACTGAATAAACTCTATTGATCTACCTTCAGATTCACTTATTCTTATGCCAGCTCAAATTGTTTTGGGTTGTTTTGTGGGTCAGCAGGTTCACCAAGTTCACTTTGCCATTTCAGAAGTCTCTCTCTGGAGCACATCTTTTTAGTTGTGACTGAGAAAAGGATAGTCTTCTTGACCTAAATGCCATTGTGTGACAGTTCACTCCTCAGAGTCATTAGAAAATTGGTAAAATTTTACTGTATAGGCAGGATCAATTCTTCATTAAACCTTCCCTATTTCTGTCTAGCTCTGCTTCATTTAAACATCCCCACAAATATGTGGCTTTAATATAGTGTCATCTAGAGTTCATGCAGTAGAATCACATTGACACTACTTCAGTTGATACTTTAGTACTAGAACTATTAGATAGAATTCAGGGTAGATTCTCTTACACTACTTACAAACTGTTACAAAGATTCCACTATAGCCATAAACTATGCTCACATGTGTTTAGTGTTTCTTTTGCACATGTTTTTACATATCTAGTCTTTATGATCATTTATTGTTGTTCTCCAGATGTCTCATTAAAATACTCTGAGAATATTCAGATAAAGCTTTCTTATTTTTTTAAAATAAGCAAGGCTCTGAGGGAGAAAGTAAAAATTCAAAGGACTCTTGCCTAATGCCTCAGATAATTTTTATATTTTAAAAATAATATTAATGACCTGAAATTTCCAGGCAAGCACAATGATGGGTTTATCTAGAGAATTTGATATGTATGTGTTTACATATGATCAATGGTACTCATTTATGAGACTACTAATCATGATTAGCTAATTAGAGCAATACCAATGACTATTGAGCACTTACCATGTTTAAGAGATAGTGGCAGTTGCTTTATATACACATCTTATCTAATCCTTTTGGTAACACCACAATATTGTTCACATTTTATAGATAAGTTTAGATGAAGCTAGAAGAGATTAAGAATCCTGCCCAAGTTTATAAAAATAGTAAGTAGCAGACTTAGGTTTATAACTCAAGTATTACTCCAGAGTACTTACTCTTAATTTTTAAAAGCGTTAGTGTCTCTCCTAAATGTAGTTTATGGCCTTACAATACCAATTACATATGGCCCTACACTACCAATTACATATGTAGTCTATGGCCCTACAATACCACATACATACCAATTTTTAATGAGATTTAATTCATACCTTTTTAGCTTCATTATTACACCAGGAAATTAGATCTTCCAAATAATTCAGCTAGTCATTCTTTTTCTTTTTTCCTCATAAGTGAGTTTTTAAAGGTATAATTATACAGGTACAGATATGCCTTGGTTAAACATAACA